AGGTTGATGCATTTGTGCATGTCGTACTAAGCAAGGTATAAAAACAGTTGCTTTATGAGGAATTAGTTCGTACCATTGAATATTTGACGCAATAGACAAGGTGTCGCAGAAACCGATGTTGCTATAACCAAGTTTTACTGTATATAATTTTTTTTACTTAATCAGAAATGCCTGCAAAATTCTTCTTTAGCACTGTCTGTCCAATGTTATGTATGGTGGTAATTTATTGCCATTTGTGGTTATACACAGCAGGACAGTAACACAACTTTTTACCTTGTGAGTTTCAGTGCCACTTGTTTTTCTTCGAAATGTATGTTGTGTGAGGCATGTCAAAAAAAAAACTGCAGAGTAGTTTCAAATTCCAAAGGAAGTTTTTAACTAACTTTTGTCCTTTGTTATAATAAATTTTTCATGGCATCCAAGTCTAGCCTTGAAGGGTGTGTATTGTTTCTAGCACATTCTCTTGCTTTTGACATCAAGGCTTTTGTAGTTATAGGTACTCCTTCATTTCGTAAATCTTTGAAATATTCTATAACAGAGTAATCAAACTCAAGATTTGTTTTCATACTTTGCCAATGACATGTACATGACTCACTCACTGTCTGCTTACTACCTGCTGCAGGATTACTTATCTTTCAGCACAGAATGGCTCTTCTTTTGAATGTAGTATCATATCTAGAACACTTCTCAGTGGGTAAAACTGATAGAAAACCAAAAGCTGGGGTGGGATGATGTGTTCTTTGCAGGCTACCCCATGGACAGTTTGAAAACTGGTGAATGATTCCTCAAATTTAAGATGCACCATAGTTTTCAGTGTTTTATTTTCAAAAAATTTTTACACAAATGCTGTAGCAAAAAGTAAAAGACTTTTCTCTAACTTTCTTGAACTCTGTATATACATTTCCATATTTCCATTATGTGTCCGCACTCCACTTCATTAGTACAGATAATTGGGAATATACTTTTGTATGTTATGAATGCAATAGCTGCAAAAGACCTTTTGTCCTATGCAGAGAAGCCAGGAAAGGGATTGGGAACCCCTGTTCTAGGCAGTCGAGATAAGGCTGGGGTCTGAGCTGGTTGTTGTGGGGCCCATGTGCAGAGTAGTGAGGGCATGAATGATGTGATATTTTAATAAATAAAGGAGAAGGGTGACAGGGTTTAATGATTACATTGGCCACATATGAGATGACAGATGAGTATGGAGGGAGATTTGGCAGGGGAACTGAAGCACTCGGATGCGAAAAACAAAGAAATAGTTTATTTTGTGGGATGGGGTGAGACTGATTCGACCTGGTACATTGGCCACCAGTTGTACCAGCCACATATGAGTATGGAGGGAGAATTGGCAGGGGAAACTGAAGCACTCGGAGGACACCTGCCCCAGTGCCACAGGCCGACTGTATATTTTCAAGGAGATGGTTTGGTAGGGATGCAAGAGATATAGGGTGGAGGCCATGCTGCCCCCTGTGGAAGGGACTGACTTGATCATCAGGCACCAGGATGGCTGGGGGGGGGGCACTTGAACAGTATGAACTTGCCCCATGAAATCCAAATGCGAAAGTTAATGGTGAGATGCTTCCACGTGTACAGAAATAAAAAAAGACATTGTTATATGAATACTGTATTGTCCATTGATTGAGGTATATTTGATATGTATCTGCCATGTTATTGTTCTGATCTTAATAGTATGCATCCTGTTGTTTGTTATAAACAAGATACATAAAATGTATACAAATGTATGCAGTCTACAAAACAATAGTCTGTATTTAAAACAAAGTAGACACTCGTATCAACATTTGTTTTTACTGATGCTACATGTTTCATTTAAATTTTATAATTTTAACTGAAAGACTGAATTTATGCATTTAAAAACACTCAAGTGCACAATAAGGATCCTTATTGAAGAATTAGATGGAATTCACCAACTGAATCTGGTATAATTGTACGCCTGATGATGACCCAGTATAAGGGTCGAAACATGTAGCGTAACTAAAAACAATGTTGATACAATGGTGTCTACTTTGTTCTACGTACAAAATATTGTTATGTAGACTGTATACATTTTATGTACATTGTTCTGATGTTAGTGTCAGCTGAACCTGGAATCTACAGGCCAGCTGATACTTTTTGGCCGGTGTCCTTTACTGTCTGCGCATGAGAGCAAGTCTATGCTATGAACTTATTTTGTCTGCAGAGAGAACATTCATAGGCTGGCTGCTTGTGAAGTTGCTCTCCGACTGCAGGATGAATTTAACTGGAACTTTAGTCCTATCAGTCACGGTTCAGGCTTTTTAACATCTTATTATGAACTAGTTTACTCACAGTACTCGTATGCTGCACTACACTAGCAACGTTAAATTAAAATACACATAAACCTAACACAATACTAATTATTTGTCTAACAGTTCCACTCCAAACAAGTCACCATTTTTGCTGAGTTCAGTTGTATCATTATCACTGGAGTCAAGTCTGGATAAGGTGGAAGTCGTCATACCGTGTCCATATGCAGCCATTATGTTGTCCATTACAGAGATTTTGTGGAGGGGTTTATGTGCCTTTATCAAGTTATAGAGCTGAATTTTGAGCATTCCATCATGAAATGGCAAATTGTTCACTGTAAGCCACTCCATCATCTTGGCCTTCATGGTCTGGCTGGTTGGTGCCTTATTAAACTGCACGTTGTGATATGGGGCATTATCTACAAGAGCTGATTTTGGAGGCAAATTTGGAATAAGTTTTTCTGTTAGCCACTTCTGATAATTTGTCGCATTCATTTCGCTATGATAGTCCCCGGTCTTGAGATGAGATTTAAATATCAACAGTGGCCCGGGAATGAAGCCAGTTCTGCCTCCCGCATGCACAATAATCAGCCTCTGGCCCTTCAATACGGGTGCCATGTACCATGATGGAGTTTTTAGGTCTGGTGTGACTGCTGTGAATGAAGGTCTTGTCCTCATAAATTATAGTCTGACCTTCTTCCCTGTACTTCTTTATTGCATGCAAATATGCTACTCTCTTCAACCTAATGTCATCCCTCTTGATCAAGGCACCCCTGTTATTTTGCATTTTCTTCCATTTAAAACCCATCTTTCATAAAATCAGTTCCAGACTGGTACTACCTCCCTTGAAATTTATGGTTTCCCTGAGTTTTGGCAGTAGTTTCCTCACAGTAGGCACAGTTTCTTCTTGGGTGTAGAAGTCAACGCTGTCTGTCGAATCACATATATATCGAAATCATCTGGATTTGTTATCCGTTTAGGTACAGAATGGTGTTTACTGGGAGTTCCGAACATAGCGCCTTCTTTTCCGCATCGAGAACCTTCATTCAGAATTCTCCGTAAACTTCTTTCTGAAACTTCAGTTGACCTTGCCGACTTTTTTCTTGTACCTTTCTTAACGGTATCAATACATGACCTGCAGCCACTTCACTTTTCATAAATGAATGGACGTTATTTACAACCTCTCGGGTCTGGCTATGCAATGTTTTGTTACTGCCCTAAAAGAAGTATATCAATTAAAAACAAGCAACTGGCACATGGGAAAAGCACACAGTATCTACTAGTAACAGCGATCCTATGAGCTCAACGTCCACCCTCTTACAGAGGCAACATAGTGTCGCTGCGCTTGCTCACCAATCTTAGGCTTGCCAACTTGCGTCAGACCACTACGCATCAGAGATCCACCAGCCAAAATCGGCCATCCCACCTATACTAAACAGCAGGAATTCTTGTGATAAGACTGTTAATGTTACTTCCTGTCTCATAGCATGAAGTCATGTTTGTATTCATGAGAGCAGGTCATCAGCCATGAGCTCCTCAGTCCTCTACTATGAGACAAGAAGCAAAGTAGACTCAATTCCTACCATCACCAGAAACTTCTAGAGAGCATTTAAAACTGATTATGCTGTGTTCCACTAATGTAACATTTTGCCCTGCAGATGGCCAGGAGGAGGAAACACGATGCTTACATGGGGCCCCTGAGGTGGTGTAATATCTGCATGTAGAATTCTACAGAGAGGAGGTAAATTGAATTTATAAACATGTGGATATAATAAAGTTTAATTAACTTCACTGAATATTATTAAGCTGCATATTTCAAGTAGACTGCAGTTCTTGCAAATGTCTTGTATGAGTCATATGCCATTGTAAATAAGTTTAGATGTAAGGGTGTATTAGAAAATGTTGATTGCCATTGTATTCATCACATACATTGGCTCTTTTCAGCCATCTTCAGATTTTCACTGGATGTTGAAGTTTAAAACCTTAGCATGCAGTAAGAATCTGCTGAAGATGGCTGAAAAGAGGCAATGTATGTGATCGATATGTTTTATCATGTATTTTATTTCAAGTAGGGGAATGGAAACTAATGCTGGGTTTTCATGTTTGCTTTGCAGGGAGGATGATGAGAAGTACAAGAGTTCCTGCATTGGAGAGGACGTGTGTGGGGTGCCATGGAAATTCATTTTCTACGAGATAGTGCGCAACAGAAACTTTAATTCTTTTTGGCGTCATAAAACCACTGCTCCTGCTTCCCTCCTCAGAGTGCATACACACTTCCTTCTAATGCATTGCAAATTTACACACATTTCAATTAAAAACAGAATTGCTTTTATTGTAATGTAACAATTAATTTTTGTAATATATATATATAGTGTTGAATAATGTTTGATGTTATGAGGTGTCACGGTGTAATTGAGTGATGAAATAAAAGGTGTGGAAGTTTGCTGCAATGTGATGCTGAGAAGAAGTGAAGTTCCTTGTGCGCACTATCTCGTAGGAAATAAATTTCCATGGGGCCCCACACATGTCCTCTGCAACGTGAAGCCATCCATGAGTATCCTTGTGATCTCCCCAACCTGCAAACAAACAAGAGAAAATTAGAATTTGTACACCTCACCTTGCAACTTACTGGCCATCTTGAGATAGGGCCAGTAAGTTGCTCTGAAATATGAATGCTGTAAGAGAGCTTTCAGTCACAAATAAACACATTGTACAAATAATATTCTTGATGCAGCCCACTCTTTTTCTCCTAAAGACTTTGGCAGGCGTACATCTTTTGCAAAAAAAAAAAAAAAATTAAAATGCAGTGCTATTTTTATATGTAGCAAATCTCATACAAGTCAAGCTTAAATACTTGGTCTACTCCATTCTAAAGCATCCCCTCTGCCAGTGCATCATAGTTTTGGACTGTCTGGTCAACCATCAACATACACCAATAGCCCAACAAGTTCTGAGCTCGCATCTTTTGTTACGAAGCAGCTCCATTTTGTTTCAGTAACATTCTAATTGCAAAATGGGTATCATGTATTCTCCCAGTATTTGGGTTCACACTTCCCCAGTTATGACTTGACAACAAAGTTGCTGAAGGTATGGCTCAACCACTCTTTGACCTCTGCATCAGATGCAGGTGAGTGGTCAGCTATTTTACCCTTGGGGAAATAACCTCAAGTACCCAGTGGATATGAGGCAGGGTGGGCACTACAGAGAAGTCTCTTGTCCCTGCTGGGAATCGAACCTCAGCCCATAGCCACTGCACTACCCCTACTCTGCTCACTATTCAAAGAGAATTTATGAATCTTCTTGTAAATAATTTTTAAGAATACAAATAATGCATTACTTGGTCTCTATGAACTCCTCGCTCCCACGTCACATCTGATCCATGGTGTCTGTGATGCATTCACTTCCTGTGAACAAACAAAATACAATATCAGGCATTTTCAGTATTTCACAGCAACTGACTACCTCCCTCTTCAGAATCCAACAAAAGCTCATCACGATGGAACAGTAACACATTAAACACACCCTGTAATAAAGATGTATGCAGGGCCAAGGGGGTAAGGCTCCTTGTCTAGATTCAGGTCAGTGATGAGCTTCATGTTCTAACCAAACAGCCCATAGTATTGACTATGTGGGCCCAGAACCAGTCTGTGTCTCACAGTGAAGGGGAAACTCCCAGATCAAACCACAGCTGTTCAGTCTGTATCAGCCAAAGAAATACCCAGCATTTTCCAGAGACTGTTTGTTTCTTACATTTTTCACAGTAGCCTCCCATCTACACCTGGGTCTTCCCACTAAAGCTTCACTCTGATGCATGCTACATGCCCTGGCCACCTCACCATCCTCAATTTTATCCATCTAATAATATTCAGTGAGGAGTACAGTTATGAAGCTCCTCATTATTCAGTGTTTTGAAGCCTCCCATTACCTCTTCCCTTTTATGGAGGAAGTTCTCAGGCTGTGTTCTTTCCATATGTGGACACCACAGACAGACAAAATTATGGTTCTGAAAATGGCTGGAAACTCTAGCACATATCTCCCCCCACACCCACCTTTTCCTGATCATGGTGATCTGGTTCAGGATAGGGACCTGAGGAAGGCTCTTGGGTAGATGAGTGACTGGCAGCTTCTCAAGAAAGACTCACCTTGATCACACCTCAAACTGAAGTTACTTTCCCACATGTCTTAGTCAAAAGATTCAAGAATGAAATTTAAAAGGTCACTTGGGCATTATGTAAAGTGGCCTTTAAAGTTAACCAAAGGATGCCAAAATTGAAATGTAAGTTAAAAAAAGTAAAGGTGTCCCTGTAACGCCGGGGAGGCCCATAGGGTTGTGAGATGTTGAGGTTCCCACATTTTCTAGACAATCAGCTCATAGATGGTAGCAAGGTTTTCAGCCCTACGTGCTGGCCGCCCTATACCCACAAGAATATTCCTGGGACTCATTTCTGTTAGAGGCTGAGTCGACCCCAGGGCCACAGTGCAGCTGGAAGGATTAGGTCAATCGAAGAAAATCCAATGACCTCATCGGGTCTTGAACCCACGACCTTCCGGCTGGTAGCACAGTGCCTCAACCAACTAGGCTACCGCATGCCCACAAAATTGAAATGGCCTAATACAATTTTGTTTACCATATACAGTGAATGAACTCAGTCCAGTGGCTTCCACACTTCCTTGCTCAGCCACATGGCAAGGACAAATTACAGAATGCTATTCAGTTCCCCCACCCCCCCAAAATGACTGTGGCTCAGATGTGACACACTGATATGTTTAAGTGCACTGGTCTGAGAACACAGAACTTGATTGTACAGTCTTCCTCAGTCACTCCAGGCAACTGCTTGGACAGTGCTCTAAATTAGGCTGCAAACTCTTCCTTTTAAATTCACCAATCACGGTCATCATTTAACATGAACCTATGCAGCTGAAAGAACTCTGCTAAATAAACCAAACAAAAACAGTCATGGGTGCCAAAGCCCACCTACGACGCAGCCAGGGACCAGGAAAGTTTAATAGTCCATAACTAAAAAGTATTACAGAAGTAGCCATTCAACATCTTAACTACCTACAGGAGAGATGAAGCCCCTCACACATCCAGTTTCTCAAATTCAGGTACCTGTCAGCTCACTGCATGGAACTATCAGTTAGTTAATACTGTTTTTACAGAACTGTTATCACAGAAGACATCATATGCAAATCCTGAATTCTATGCCCTTAAGTTCCCCAGTGTGAAACCTACATACATACATAGCTTCACAGATCCGTTGCCCGCAATGGGCTGGATATTGAGCTCGTCAGAATAGTTCAAAGTAGTTGCAATATGCAACCAAGTCCAAGTAGACATGACCTGTATACAATAGGAATATAATACAATTAGGTATTTGCCGTATATTCATCAATAGAATAGAAAGCTTTCAAGATAAAGTCTTTCAGTCTACGTTTAAATAAATTAATATTATCCTTTAAAATATATAATTTATGTGACAAATTATTAAAAAATTTTATGCATGTATAATACACTCCCTCTTGTATAATGGATAGTCTAGCTGTGACGTGACATGTAGTCCATTTTGTACTCTATGGTTAATTTTATGTACACTATTATTTGTAGGATAATTATTTTCGTTTTCAATTACAAACATGACCATAGCATATATAAACAAACAGGGAACTGTAAGTATCCCTAATTCTCTGAAAACCTCTCTACAAGAACTTCTAGGCCTCATCGTTAACATTGCTCTAATTGCTCTTTTCTGAGCCACAAACATTCTTTTCATTGATGACAAAGAAGAGCCCCAGAAAATAACACCATATTTAAGTTGAGCTTGACAGTAAGCACAATAAGCCATTTTCAACACTTGCCTACTTACTATAGGCTGTAGTTTTCTAAGCACAAAGGTTGCAACACTCAACTTATTTATCACATCATCAGAGTANCATTTTGTACTCTATGGTTAATTTTATGTACACTATTATTTGTAGGATAATTATTTTCGTTTTCAATTACAAACATGACCATAGCATATATAAACAAACAGGGAACTGTAAGTATCCCTAATTCTCTGAAAACCTCTCTACAAGAACTTCTAGGCCTCATCGTTAACATTGCTCTAATTGCTCTTTTCTGAGCCACAAACATTCTTTTCATTGATGACAAAGAAGAGCCCCAGAAAATAACACCATATTTAAGTTGAGCTTGACAGTAAGCACAATAAGCCATTTTCAACACTTGCCTACTTACTATAGGCTGTAGTTTTCTAAGCACAAAGGTTGCAACACTCAACTTATTTATCACATCATCAGAGTATTTTTCCCAGCCCAAATGACTGTCCAGGCACACATCTAAAAACATTTACAGAAAATTTAAGTGTTTGGCCATTATATTTTATATGTAATGGATAGTCCATGGCCTTCGGGGTCATAAACTTCATTGCATGGGTTTTTTTTTTAATTTAGTATTAATTGGTTAGCTTGGAACCATCTATATAAATGTCATATCCTGTGAAGAGACAATAAAAGTGGTGTCGTCAGCATATAGCACCGTATGTGCCAACCCATTTAGAATTCTAGGCAGATCATTAATATATACATTGAACAACAAANTCTAAAAACATTTACAGAAAATTTAAGTGTTTGGCCATTATATTTTATATGTAATGGATAGTCCATGGCCTTCGGGGTCATAAACTTCATTGCATGGGTTTTTTTTTTAATTTAGTATTAATTGGTTAGCTTGAACCATCTATATAAATGTCATATCCTGTGAAGAGACAATAAAAGTGGTGTCGTCAGCATATAGCACCGTATGTGCCAACCCATTTAGAATTCTAGGCAGATCATTAATATATACATTGAACAACAAAGGACCCAGTACCAACCCCCGTGGAACTCCATGTTTGCTAGTTTTCCATTCAGAAACATATGTAGTTGAGTCTTGAGTCTCTAGTATGATTCTTTGCTTCCTGTTATATAGGTATGTTTCAAGCACTTTTAGTAGAGATCCTTTTATTCCATAGTGTTTTAATTTTTGGACAAGCAGTTCATGATTGACACAGTCAAATGCCTTAGTGAGGTCACAAAAAATCCCCAGAACCTATAGGTTCACCTCCATAATCTGAGAAGCCTGCAACTGGATCATACCGTGAGTGATATCAATCCAGTTCAATTCTACAACCCATTTATCTATGATCCATTTTACTACTATATTGTACTGCCATGTGGTTTCTTCCTTCATCTCCCTCAGTTATGTGACACAACCTCTCTGATTCAAGAGCAACTGGACTGAATGCCAAGTGTAGTGCTGGGCCACAATGAGCAGTTATTTTGCTAGGATTATTTTTGATATTACAAAATCTCAGACATTATTCGATTTATAAAGGTGAAAAGGCTTGAATGGGCTGGACACATAATACGTGCCAGCGAGAATAGAACCATCAAGAAAATGCTTAATACTAAACCAGAAGGAAATAGGAGAGTGGGAAGACCCAAGGTTAAGATGGGAAGAATGTGTGTGGCAGGACATAAGAATTTTGGGTGTAAAGAACTGGACGAATGTAGCATCAAATAGAGAAGAATGGCGAGCAATCCTGAGGAAGGCCAGGGCTCACAAAGGGCTGTCATGCCAGTGATGATGATTATTACAAAATCTCAACACTTCAGATTTTCACTCTGCGTTAAGCAGTTAAGTGGGTATGATGTCTGTATACGCCATGCATGTTTCCAACTATTCCACTGTAAATATACTGATAGTCAGCAATGCAAATTTGTATGTTGCGTTTGCTGGATCTTCTAGTTACTTCACAGTGTGATAGGAAGGCACTGATTGCGTGACAGATTTGAGGTTTTGTGAGTAAACATTACGGCATATCCTAGCAAGATGATGCATGTGAGCGATGAGGTGTTATATGAACTGTTGCAAGAGAATGAAGGTAGTAATATTTCTGAGAGAGAATACAGTAGTGACATTGAAAAAATGTGAAAATTTTGTCATGCAGTGAACAGAGTGTCAGGTCTGATGAAGAAGAAATTGTCAGTGACAACAGTAGCTTGCAGCATGGCTTATGGGCAAAGTTGGGTGTTGAGTGCCCACATTTTCCATTTACTGGCAAGCCTGGCTTAAATGCTGCTTTATATGAGCCCAGTAGCCCCCTGGAATATTTTGAGTTCTTTTGTACACCAGAAACTGCAGAAATAGCCAGTGAAACAAATCAGTATGTCCAAAAAATTTTAGAAAACATGCCTAATCTAAAACTAAAATCTAGGACCCCATCAATGGAAGTAGATGAATAGAAATTAAATAATGAAGTTGCTGGTATTCTTTGTTATAAGGACTTCACCACAAAACAGATAACAAGAACTATCTTCCCAGGTGACAATTACAAAAACACTCATATTCTTGGACCTGTTCAGTGAAAGGAGGCTTCACCTTCTACTGAAGTATTTCATTTTGTTGACAACAAAAGTTATGATGAAGCCATTTGTGGTTCCAAAAGATTATATAAACTCAAACTCACACTGGATCACCTAAATGCCAAATTTAGGGGTGTATATACCCCAGAATGTGAAGTGTCAGCAGATGAGTCTTTGATGATGTGGAATGTATACAGTTCTTCAAAACGTGCTAGATTTGGTATAAAATCATTTGAAATGTGTGAAGCTAAATCTGGCCATGTATGAATTTTATTATTTACATTGGGCAGGATATTGTTTTGAACGAGTCCCTAAAAAATGAGCCATATGGCTCAAAAGTAGTTCTACAACCAATGGCTCCTCTACTGAATCAGGGAAGCCCTTTAATCACGGACAACTGGTTTTCATGCCCAGATCTGTTCTATAAGCTGTGTAGCAAACAGACTGACACTATGGGAACCTTGCATCAAAAGAGGGTGGATGTTCCTCCTGAAATAAAAAGTACAAAACTGGAAAAAGAGGACATGTTTCAGTCTACAAAGACAGTCTAATGATAATGAAGTGGAAACATAAAAAGGATATCTATCTTGTAAGTATCATTCATGATGACAAACTGGTTCCAACTGGGGTATGACAGCGAGACATGAAGGAGCCCAAACTATGAAAAGCACTTCTGTCATTTGATTGATATCTGTTGCTTGAAATAATATTTACTTCACAAAAAGAAAAAGACAGCAGCCTATCCAGGATGTAATTTCGAGTGAAACTTATAGAAACTTTAATTCAAAATATCATATAACAGAAGTAAAACCATCAAAAACTGTCCAACCAACAACGATGAATTATCCCTCCTACACTGCTGCCACAGTGCAAAACAAAATCTCTGCCCTGTATGCTGCACAATTTCCAACATTACCATATGGCAGCCAACTTCTCAAGGCATGAAAGGGAATAGCTAAGATGTGTCTGAAGGTAAGATTTTCGTGATTATAAAGTGTACTATGGGCTGATATTGAAAACTAAACCACAATTATAAAGACCTTCAAAGTATGTGCCACTGGAGTTGAAGAAAATGTTTCTGGTGATATAATTGTTTTAGCGATGATTTCATAATCTGTGTAAAGTAACAATTTTGCAGTCAATGTTTGGAAGGACAAATACATTTTGTTGCATAGTTCATTCATTCACAGTAGGCTCAACTTGCGAAGGAAGTATAAATCAGCATACAGGCAATGAGAAACATTTGTTATCAATGAGGCAGCCAGAGGTGATGTAGGTCATAGTGAAATGTCACAACAAACAAACATGTGTGTGAGACAGAGAGACAGAGAGAGAGAGAGTGTGTGTGTGTGTGTGTGTGTGTAGGTTGGAGTTAGTTTTGCCTGTCAGCTTTTATGAATGGTGTTTCATTTCTCAACACCGGTCAGGACTGCATACAGTTAATATACCTGAGTCAGACATATCTTTGTGTTCACATACTGGGAACTGAGACGCATGTCAGTGGCACAGCTTTTGAGAATAAAGCCAAAACTACAGAGCTTTACTAAATATATATATACAGGGTGTCCCAGGAGGANGTAATGTAATGGCTATATAAATGAAAATATAGATATGTATATGACCTCTGGCAGGTACTGTCTTTGATCCCTTGGAAACCAGGATCGTGGGTTCGAATCCCACTCAGGGCATGGATGTCTAGTTTGTGTGTGTGCGTTTTTGTGTTTGTGTACAGGTAGAGGCCTTGCGATGAGCTGATCACCCGCCCAAGGAGTCCTACCGAATGTGTAAGATCTAGAAAAACCAAAGTGAACGGAGAAGTTCATGGAGGTAGGCCTAGGCCCACTGGGGCTGTGGTGCCAAGGAAAAAAAACTATGAACTCTAATTGGTCCTTCAGAGACTTTTTGTTTCATAATCATTGAAATACTGTAATTTTTAAAAAGGGAGCAACAAGTACAAAATTAAATGCAAAATTAAGAAATTTGTATGTCCAGAGAATTTACATGTCCCATTGCAGGAGAGATAAGAGTATGGAATATATACACTTAATTGGTTAGGCCTTCCAATACTGCAAACCGTTTTTCATAAACTGTATTTGTGCTATGTACACAGCAAAACCATTAAAATGATATACTTTAAATAAGTGCCTGTCCAATTACAGTCATCCCCCCCTCCACCCATTTAGGGGTCTCAACTTTAACACTAGCCCAAAGAAAATCCTGAACAAAGCAACTTAACAATGACATTATATGTCTGTGATCACTGAAGCTGAATGTTAAACATGGGAAGCCTCAAACCCAGGAACACTAAGCACTGGATCCACGCCAATGAAAGAAATGAAGGTGCCCCCCCCCCCAACTGTCAATTTGTAAACAAGGCCCATAATTAGATTCAGGTGACACACACCTTCTCTACAGGAACTCCTCACAGCTGGAGCATTTTCTGACTCTTCTTCCTCAGCATCATGTCAGTGGCCATCCTGTAGATGGTACATGCAGAGGGTGAAGGGCGACTTCAGGCATCCTTGTCCAAACCCAATGACATTCCTCCATAGCCGGAACAGAAATTTCTTCGCTGATGCCCTTGAACTGCTGTGCACAAACAGTAACCTCTGTTAGAGAGAGGCTTCCAACTCTGAGGCATGGAGGCAACCCCACAGAATGCAAACAAAGCAGCTAAATCTCCCTTGGGCGAGGACAAGTATGGTTCTTACTGCAGTTCTTCCTGCATGGTGAGCACTGTCCATATTACATGCACAGTCCATCAACAAGGGAGTACCTCCACCACCCAAGTGAATCTCACACACTACACACCTCATCAAAATAAACATCTGACATGACACGTACCTTCAGTGCGGTATGGCTCGAAGCCTGCATACGAGAGCAGGGCAGAAATTTCTGGATGTCCCTTCGCTCATCTGCGGTCCTGTTGCCGAACACTGGCTCCTAACATGTGAAGCATGCCTCCCAGTGAAGGGGAAATGAACAAGAAATCTATAATCCTACATTAATTTTGCCAAAAAATCTATATCAGTCCATTTACACAGCGATGCCTAGTGAATATCCTACTCAGTCAACAGAGGCTGAAACCCCAGCTCATGCATTCAGATAAGCAAACATGTACACACCAATGCCATGAAACTTGTTATCATTGTCAAACAGTATCGTAATTTAGGGATTTCTATTTACTATTGACTTCTCATTCTGTTCCCATGCTTTAGGCTGCCTTTTTCTTTATTCTACACACATCTGTTTAACAGCAAAGTGAACAGACTTGAAAGGATTCTGACGATGGTGTATACTGTACTTGTTTTGGACTTCACCCATCGTCCGGTATGTAAAAGACAAAAAACCACAACGTTTTGGGAGACTGGATCTGTCTCCGTCTTCAGGTGGATAGGGAAGGATAAACCTACTTGGGCCCCTTAGAAAGAGCTAGTCTCAATCCCTATCCACCTGAAGATGGAGACAGATCCAGTCTCCGAAACGTTGTGGTTTTTTGTCTTTTTGTCTTTTACATACCGGATAATGGGTGAAGTCCAAAATAAGCCAAAAGAAGTACAGCAAAGTGAACATTCCAAATTTTGTACATCTAATGTTTTCAGGGTAATTCTCCTATTCCTTCTGAACAATGCAATGTGTCCAATATAGCAATGAGCTAATTTCAGTTAACAGTTCCTAGTCACTGTTCTGGGGGAGGGTATGGGTTAGGAATATAGGAGAGCAGGAAAATGCTGCTGCAGATGTTGTGCACCTTTGGGACTTCCAGGGTGCTCCGTGCTACATCTGAATGACATCTCGCATCACTTGGTACAGCAGTTCTCTCACTCATCCCTCCAGGACTGTCAACAAATAGTACCAGTTCATTACAACAAGCACAAAAGCTGTATAGTATCTTGAAATCAACATATTGTGATGACATGACACTGTGAAGCAAGAGACCAATGTACACAAAGCGTTACACTTACTGAAAGTGAATCATCAAGTGATATACAAATTCAAGGTGGCCCTCTGACTGACAGTTTCCAAACCACATTCCCCCACCACATTGTTATCTTCTGGGTTATGACACAATATGGTCGGGTGGGTGTGTACCAACATTTCAGAGTAGTTAGTTAGTTATTAGAGAGGGTGGGTTTCCCCATGCACTTAGACCAGTATTGGTCCATTGTGCTTCACTGATATTCTACCAGTCTCTATACCCTACCGATATTGGTGCGTACCATCAGTCCCGACCGAGCCAGCGAGTTCGGCCTCTACTGGCTTGGCGGTATCTATAATGCTTCCCCCATCTATCAGAGGCGTTAGAGACTACTGTTGGGTGGGAAACTTCCTTGAACTTGGCTCAGTGACCTCCTTTGGAGATATGAGGTTCTTTTACGTGCCGTAAAGCTACGACACGGGACCCACGGCTTAAAGTCCCTCCCGGAGGACTTGTTCCTTGAATTTTTCCACCCTTAAAAATTCCACGACCTCCGCCGGGTTTGAACCCGCGTACCACAAGTCATGAGGTGGGAACGTTGCCTCTAGACTACGGAGGCCGCTTAACATTGCAGAGTAACATACTGCCTCCATCTTCAGGGTTGGAACACACCTACCAGGCTACACAGTGTCTTAACTCACGTGACAATATGAATCTCTACTGCCATGATAAATTCAAAAGCCATTCGTTCAGACCCAACACACACCTTCCCTTCATGAGCTCCTCAGAGCTGGTGTTCAGTCAGAGCTGGAGAATTTCCTGGCTGTCTTTCCACAGGAGGAGGAGGAGGGTTCAGCCCAAACCCACTTGCATCCTCCTGCAGCTGGAACATCTATTTCATCACTGGTGCCTCTCCACGCTGCTAACAAATAAGACATCATATAAAGTCTTCCACAGGCACATACTATACTTCATAAAATGTGTTTTCAACAGGCTGCATTATTACATGATGCTCACCTGTCACATGGCCACCCTGTGGTTGGTTCACAATGAATGTGTGAAGGGGAAGACGGATCAGATGCTCCTTCCTTGGTAAGAAGGCAAACTCCTCACAGACAACATGCTGACAGCAGGCAAAGAAGTTCTGGATTCTCCTTGCTTGGTTTGCACTGAATGATGTTCTTCATATAGAGAATGCAATTTCTTCAGTGGTGTCACCCCCATCCCAGAAAAATAAGACCAACAAATGTATAAACATTACTTACTTCTCAATTACAGTCCATCTACTTGTGTTTGCAGTACTGTTCTTCAATAGAAGCTCAAGCACGTAAAACCAGTTCATTAGTCCATTATCCAATGAAAATGCAAATCCAGGATTTTTCTTTTGAGAACAACTTACACCAAAACGAGTATCCACACAGAAACTCCGTACAATTAGTGTGCAGTCCGGGACTAATCCTCATTCCAGCTGCAAATGGATGGATACATCGCCTAGCACATCAATTTATTCACTGGGATGACATCAAATTCCTTTCAACAAACAACATTTATAAGTTGACTTTCAACTCTTTCACTTAATTAAACTGCCTTATGCGTGGAGGGTGATTTACACCATGCAAAGCACTTAAAATATCCTTGCTGTTTTCTTGCTTAGTAAGATATTCACTATAGTCTGACACTTCATCTAAATACTCGACTGCATAACATTCGTCTGATGCGTTGCAAAAACCAAATAAAAAGAAAATACACGGCCCTCCTTCAAACCTGGAACTTTCGGTGGAGCTCAATCCACGCCTTAATTTGCAACATCGCATCTTAAAAAATAAATACCCCAAGTAACGCCTCTTCCTTACCTGTAGCATGTTATTACATGCTTTGAAACTTTCCGATGCTACTGTAAACAGATGCGAACGGATGAGAACTTCAGTTATACTATTTTGCCACCATTTTTCAAAAACCTTTTCCTCTTCCACGCCCATAAAACTCCTCCATCTTTGGCCAGTACATTAACGAATCAAATCGCATTATTTTAGTCATATGATCCAAAGATGATTTCCCAGTGAACCAGGGGTTCTTAATGGTCAAGCCGGGATATCGGTCTGGGTCTTCAGTGTCGTAAGAGGGCCCTGATTTTGATGACATGTCATAGTTTTTTTCCTTGTATCCTATGCGATGCTCTTAAATATATAAATCTCGGATATGAGCTACTGGTTACAGAAATGTAAATTTTATAGGTAATCTTTTGTCATTTGTTTTACATTTTTAGGTTTAAGGTCATTTTTTCATTTTTGGGGTATTTTTTTGGACTTTTAAAGGTATTTCTTGTCATTTTTGGCCATTTTAGGGATTTTTTCTTCATACGTTTTCTGAAATGTAAATAACATGGAAGCGAAGTGTTCTTTCTTTTCTCCGTTAGGTCACTTTTCTGGATTTTTTCGGTCATTTTTTGAATATTTTCAGGTCATCAAAATCCGGGCCCTGCATATTACATTTTTGGGTCATATTTTAGGTCATTGTTCTGAATTTTTTCGGTCATTTTTTAAAATATTTTCAAGGCATCAAAATCCGGGCCCTGGTCATAAGCTTACTTTCCTTATTTTCAAAAGGAATTAAAGTAGACTTATTCTATCTCCATGCTGTCTGTGTGTCATTACCACTTTGACGTAAACATTACATAGTAGTACTCAATTTGAAGATCAAGCAATATCGAAAACACTGATGGGCCAAATGAATGTCGACATTCATGCAGAGACCTCCTGTTCAGCTGACAGATGTTCGTGAGATTAAGGGTCGTGCCTTATTAACCAGACCGAGCACAATGATCCTTGTTGAAACAAAACCGGTAACAGAAAATACTACTGATTTCCCCGAGTTTGTTCTCGTGTATGCAATGAAGCAGTCGACGAAAAGAAAAACAGATAAACAAGCACAAAAATTACTGATAGATATGGCGAGAGTACACCAAGGAAACTGGCAATCGCAACGCAATAGCAATTTCCGAGAAAAAATCGCAGATATCAAGCAGGCAACCATTATCCAGATCAGCAGGCGTACACTGAGGAAATTTATGTTTTATTAGTTGCTTACATCATCTTAAGTGGGTATGTTCGTCCGACATAATGCATCATTACATTTTTTAATTTCGTGCTCTTACCGTCTGAAATGGAAGGTAATAATACGATCCTGTCCTAAAATGATGGTAGCTGAGACGGCTTGAAAAAGAGAGGACGACGACCATAAGGAAAATATTGGGATGTTGTTTTAATTAAGGCAAATGTGGGATGTCATATGAAGAGACAACCACTAGTTGAACTGTCCTATAGGATTTATTGCAGCTGCACAGTATACACAGATGGATAATAATAGTGAACTGTACAATCTAGAACTGTAACTGTTAACTCCGTGTATATTCTTATGTAGCCTAGGGTCGGACATATAGAAAACGGTTACGTAATAGGTACTGCTGTTGCCAGACACCGTGTTTACAAGTTCCCTAGCAACCGCTGTTTACTCACTTTTGCCTAGCAACCGTTGTTGCTAAGCAATGACGCTTGCGTTGTCAAACTTGCTTGAATGTGGGCAGTTCCCACACAAATTTAATCAGGAAATATCACGTTCACACGCGATGCGAAATTTTTACATACAGTGCAACAAATTTAGCAAGATGGGAGACACCTGATGATGACCGCATACAGCCGAATCATGTACTGTGGAAGAAGTGTGACTGTATAATAAATTGTATTTAAGACGGAAACATATGTGAAATAAATTATATACTAATGCAACAGGATGCTTAAATGCAATATTAGGAAAAGAAAACATTGAGTGCGCCCGTTCTACTATAACAATTTAAACAGAGTAGCTTATATCGTTTCGAAAGAACTTAACCTGAATCCAGACTCCTTCGTCTCATGAGAAATTCTTTCTCAAACCAAAACTATTCTGTCCCGCCTATCATAGTTTGGGTAGTGTTTGTCATACACATATATACTAGGCTCTTGCTCAATTCACTGCACAAAAACAAAATTAGCAGCTTCGNAGTGCGCCCGTTCTACTATAACAATTTAAACAGAGTAGCTTATATCGTTTCGAAAGAACTTAACCTGAATCCAGACTCCTTCGTCTCATGAGAAATTCTTTCTCAAGCCAAACATATTCTGTCCCGCCTATCATACTTTGGGTAGTGTTTGTCATACACATATATACCAGGCTCTTGCTCAATTCACTGCACAAAAACAAAATTAGCAGCTTCGTCAACCTTTCGTGCCATCTTAAATAACAAATCAATTTGACACGCGTTAAATGATGGGGCACCTCCTCACTTCTCTCGCGCAGTAGCAGCTCACTTGGATCGGCATTTCCAACAGCGGTGGATTGGTCGCGGAGGGCGTAACGTCTGGCCTCCCAGGTCGCCAGATCTAACGCCGTTAGATTATTGCATTTGGGGCTGGATGAAGGACATTGTATACTAGGTAAAGGTACAAACACGTGAAGCTTTGAACGTACTCTGGACGCGGCGATGACAATACGTGTGGAACTGCGATATGCTACGAGCGCGGTGCATACGCGTGCGACGCGTTGTGTTGACGTGCAGGAAGAAGTTTTTGAAAATCTTATGCAAATCCAGTAGTCTTCTAAAGCACTACAGTTTAAAGGAAACAGATTGATATAAGGGTGTGATATGCAACCATTGGTATGTTTACTGAATGGGATGCTGAAAATAAAGTAATTTTGTAACATAAAATCAATGAAAAATGTTGCATAATGCAAAACTAATTGAAAAAAAATGGTTTTAGAATGCTTCTTTCCTGAAACATTAACGACTTAAAGTGTTTGTATTTATTTCTAATTTGTTTTGACTGAAGTTCAAAGAAAAGATTTTCCTTGTTTTTAAATTATTGTATCTCTTTAATTATGAGTTGGATACCATTAGTATATTAAATTTTTTTGTTCCAAATTACTTCAGGAATGCCCTCCCTAAGTGGGGGGTAAAACTTCGTGAATCACTCTGTATACAAATCGCATTTTTACCACTGCAAAGGTTTCCATGTACATTCATTCATATGGGCAAATGCTTTAACGAAAATTTGACCCCTTCATAATTTCGAGTCACCATGCATGTAAGACCGTCTCTTTCAACACGCAAGTACACACACTTCATACGCTTCCCGCACGCATGCGACATATATATATATAACTCCTTTCGTTTTGCTCCCACACTTATGTTTTTAAAATCCCTCCATGTATTAACCTTTTACGAGCAGTACAAAAAAAGCACGCATCCGTTTTTTCCTCAAGTTTCCCAAAATCCGCATAATTCCTGTTTCAAATTTCCTTTTATGGCCGACAGTCAATGTGTGTATTTTCACAAGCAGTACCTAAAATTTTTATGGCATACCAAATGAGGAGTGCGTACATGGGTCACAACACTTCAACAATTCACAGATATCAAACAATGGTGATTGTCAGGCCGCACCATAGCTCAAGCGATTAGTCTCTGGCTTCCCACCACTCTGGCCCGGGTTCCATAAAGTGGGCTTTGTGTGGACAAAGTGGCGATGGGACAGGCTTTCTCAAAGTACTTCGGTTTCCCCTGCCAATCTTCATTCCACCAATTGCCCCACAATCACCCTCACCTATCATGTGGGGCTGGTACAATAGGCCAGAAGTGGCCGCAGTACAAAGGACTTAGTCCCACCGCACTGGCAATTAAAAAAAAAGGCGATTGCCAAAATTTCCCCATACTCCATCACGAGTGTTACTGAAATTATTTTTGCTCCACTTCGCACAATTCATACATAAACATACCACAAGCCATTACAATCTCCTGTGGAACATATAAGCATAAGCACCTATGGTCATTTCAACACTTCTTTTTGATAAACTGTAGTCGGAAAACAATCCCATTATTGCATGTGAGATAATTCACGGCTCAGTCTCAAGTCATCCATCCCCTCTAAATATTGTACTAAGTAATGTCACTCTGTATTTCATCTTCTCGTAGACAAAGACTACCAAAATACCTTCATTCTGCCTTCCATTTCCATCCTGAATGGGTGTTTAATTCTGTTCACACAATTCATAATATTAACAACACAATCTGAAGAAATGTCCCATTCCTATTTGATCACAATATCCTGAGCCTCAATCACCCAACCCATCACTTCTAGAAACATACTGCAAGTTAAGAAATAGCTCCCAGTCCTTTGCAACATCAATACTGACAGCTTACACCCACTTTAGAATGTTTATTCTCTCACTTTCTATGAAACATTCACGGGCCATGTCTTTTCACGAGCATTATACACATGCCATGCATGTTAATATTATGACAAAACGATTAATTTCCCACATATTCCAACACCTTATTCCTTCCTCTCTTTCTGTTCCAAAATTCTCTCCTGTCTGTTTTATTTTTTTCCTGATAAATTCTGAATAACTCATCAAACCCTAGAACTCTACATCAAACTAAAATCGTTACAGAAATGATGGAATTAAATAAAAACGGTTGACACATGTAATCTCCTGAAAATTTGGAAAATGTAGGACAATAACTAGAAATTAAAACATTTTAAGTTTTTTAATGAAAGAAATTACAATCATTTGCAAATTTTACGAACACAGTCACTTTTTAATTATCTTAGGCTTGGTTGCTAGATATATTAAAAGAAATTAAAAAAAAAAACAGAAAACACATCATACACACACACATACATACATGAACACACATTCTAGTAGTCACCAGATTGCAGTCTTCTGGGTTGTGACACCATGTTCTCTTGTATGTGTAAGCTGATGTTTGAGAGCAACATGTTGCCGTCACCATCAGAGTTGAAATGTGTGTAAGCAGACATTGCTCTGAAATGCTGGTATGTGACCACAAGACTACATTGTGTCACAATCCACAATACTACAAACCACACAATCACCACAATGAAAACCATAAAACTTTACTCTCTGGACATCAGCCATTTCCATGATAAACTTCAGTACATGTTCATCAGCACATCAGATTTATTAAACGAGGTCTGCATTATATATAGTTACATTATTATGAGATA